ATGCGGCTCTCGCTTTAGCGCCAGGCTCACTTGTTTTCAACGTTTCCAACGGTTACACATATGGAGGGGCCCATGGCTTGCGGCTCTTTCCCCAGCCCCAGGCCCATGCGTTGCATAGAGCTCCAGCAGTTACAGGATCGATGACCGGCTCGACTCCAATATGTGGCAATCGCTTGCAAGTAACTTTGAACTACTTAACATAGATATGTAACCTGTGCGCTCATTATACGGATGGATGGCGGTTCCGTTTTAACTTGGAATCTCGCTTGGCCGCTGCGAATTTTCTAACCGCAACATGCATTGGGGAACGTGTGCACGGACGGAGGACATATTCTTTTCAGAAAGGGGCTATCGCTGGAAGCACTTCCTCGGACTTGATCGTCCTACCTCTACGCGTTTCTCGACGCTGCGAGGTTGGAGGGCGGATCCTTTACACAGCGGCGATTTCCCTGAGTGGCAGGCCCGACGGGCGCTAGACATTCAAGAGGGGCGCGTGGACTTATGATGGACGGCCTCGGGACGGGAGGGCGTACTCCACCATCGCCGACGCATCCTTGGCTTACGTTGGCCCTCCTCCTCCTCCTCCTCCTCCTCCTCCTCCCCCCTCTTCTTCCCCTTCCCCTTCCCCATCTTCACCCCGTCCCCGTCCCCGTCTTCCCCTCGCCCTCCCCTTCCCGTTCCCCTCCCCCTCCCCCGCCGGCCCCACCCATCCTCTCTTCCCCTCTCTACAATGCATCGCGTACCCTTTCGGGACCATTGCCCTGCTCGACATCCGACCGTGCGGGTAGAGAGGGGATCTGCGCCATGGTAGGGGATGGGAGGGAGGGGGGCAGGGTGTCGGATGTGACGCGAGCGCGCCTGGCTTGCCCTCCCCCCCTCCCCCGCCGGCCCCACCCATCCTCTCTTCCCCTCCCCCCCCCCTCCTCCTCCTCCTCCTCCTCCTCCTCGTCCTCCTCATCCTCCTCCTCCTCCTCCTCCTCCTCCTCCTCCTGTCCTCCATCCATTCCCTCGAACACACAACTCGCCCCCCCCCCCCACGTCGCACCCCGAGGCGCGTCGGCAGGACGCGGCCCGGGCGCTTCGCCCGAGGCCGCAGCGGCGGGGAGCCTGCACGCGCTGGACGACCGGAGGGCGGGTGCTCTTCAAGAGGTCGGGGATGGACAGACCCCCCCTTTCGTAAAGTCAGGGGGTTTGAGAATCAGCTCACGTAGCTGATCTTCCCGGCGCCCTCCGCCGCCGGAGGCGGAGGTCGGGGATGGACAGACCCCCCTTTCGTAATGCGGGATGACGATTAACAAAAAATGAGGGGGGAACGATAAAAAAAATAGTTTCCGGCTATTTCTGCATAACTTTCTGACTGGAGGAGAACGATGAAAAAACAGTTGTCCAGCCCGCGGCCGGTTTTTTCTAATCGTCATCCCGGGCGCTGCCGCGTGAACACGACCCCCGGTCGGCTTCGTGAAAGCGACCTGAGGCCCAACGAAACTGGCCAAGGATAGACCGAGGAGGCAGTGAAGCAAGGGTGCCTTGTAAGAGTGTGTTTGTTTGAAGGCAGATCTGTCTGCAAAGAGTACTTTCTCTCTCTTCAAGGCAAGCCTGCCTTCAAAAAATACGTTTATTAGTGCAGATCCGCCTTCAACAAATACATTCTTTCGGGGATGGACAGACCCCCCTTTCGTAAAACGTGGTTTCCTGAAAACGACCTGAGGCCCAAACCTGGCGGGCGCAGGCCAGGAAGATAAGAGCCACGGCGCCCTCCCGAGAACCGTAAACGGACAATTCACGAATCGACGTGTCGCTGTTGGGGGTTCTGTCCACCCCCGAAAATGTGGCTCTCGCCTCGGCGCCGCGCACATTCGTCGCACACATTTGCAGCGGCTTCGAGCACGGAGGGTGGTCCCCTTGAAGCATGCGGCTCTCGCCGTAGCGTCGAGCGCACTCATGTGAAACGCTTGCAGCAGCTTCAAGGACTCGTGCGGTTGAAATCCCATGAACAGTACTCCAGATTTCGTAGTAAAGGGAGGGATGTCTCATTTCGGGGGGGGTCTCTTCCAGGCTATCTTGGAGGGCCTGGGGGAGTCTGGGGACGATGTTTTGGAGGGTTCTCCCACGGGGAGGGGTCTGAAATGGCTTGTCTGGGAGGGTTGAGACCCCCTCCCTTTTATTACGAAATCTGGAGTATTCTGGCGTTGTCAGGGAGCAGCAGTCGCGTTGTGGTCCGGCCCGCTTTAGCATTGCCAGGACGCAGCGATGACGGTGACTCGCGGCACCGAAGTCCCAGGATCGGTGTTCTGGCACGGTTGAGGATTCTCAGGCGGTTGCGTCCTCCAAGCAAGCACTTCCCACATTGAAAATTCAATCTAGTACTCCAGATTTCGTAATAAAGGGAGGGGGGTCTCATTTCGGGGGGGGGTCTCTTCCAGGCTATCTTGGAGGGCCTGGGGGGTCTGGGGACGATGTTTTGGAGGGTTCTCCCACGGGGGAGGTCTGAAATGGCTTGTCTTGGAGGGTCCAGACCCCCCTCCCTTTTATTACGAAATCTGGAGTAGGCACCTATGACATTGGAACTGGGAGGGATGGTTTCTTGCAGCATCGCTGATGCGTCTTGGGTTTGCACTGGTCTTCCTCCCCATCTTGCTCCTCGTTGTCCTCTTCTCCCTTCTGGTCCTACATCCCTCTTCCATACACGTAGCTCCTCTCTGTCACACCCCAAGATGTGTGGGTAGGGCGGACCGGGCGTTTCCCAATCTACATCTTGACCGTTTCTCAAAAATAATCCCGCCAGCCCTTTCGGACGCGAGTGGTCTAGGGAGTTCTTTCTGCCAATCCTGCCCCCTTCGGGGAGGGGTTTCCCCTCCTCCTGCCCCCTCCTGGGTCTGGAACTCTCCCCTCGCGAGGTGTCAGAGGGTCCGTTTTGGCCCCAGATGGCTCCAAGAGGGACCACGAAAGCCAAGTATTGCCTCCAAGACCGATCAGATGGCCTCCAACACCTCCAAGAGCCCTCAATATCGCCTCAGGACGGCCACAAGTGCCCTCCGAGCCTCCCAAGGAAGCCCCCAGGAGGCCAACATCCTTCACAACCAATGTGTGTGTGTGTGTGTGTGTGTGTGCGTTTCAATGTGTTTTGGCTTCCCGCCTTTTATCTTTCGATGGGCTCCTCAGGCCTCACGACGGCTCCAAGATAACCCAAAGGGCGCCGATAATGCCCCAAGAGGGTCCCAAGAGAGCCCCTAGAGCGCTAAAAGAGGCCTCTATAGATGGCCCAAGAAGGCCCCACGAGGCCTCCAATACGCTCCCAGAGCCACACATTCGAAAGGTCTTGATCTTGACTCCTGTCGTCGTCGTTGTCGGTGGTAGAGGGCAAACGCTTCCCGCGGCTGCCTTGGTTGAGTGGATGCCTGTCGTCCTCCGCTTGCTTCTCTTCTCTTCCTCCTCGTCCTTCGAAATACCTGCGAAAACGGACGCCGTTCACTGCTGGGCCAAATGCTGCTACACATTCATGATCAGAGAAGCTCGCCTGGTGTCTGTTTTCGGGTGGGCTGGTGGGGACACGAGAAGCATCAATAATTCTGAAGCTTGAAATTCGCAGCAGATGCAAGCATGGCTGGGTGTGTCGTTTCCAACATTGGGCTCCTGCTTTAGAGCCCTGCCCGCGCACATTCGCGTTTAAGCAATGCAGAAATTTCAAGGATGAAGGGTTGGTGGTCTTCAACGTGGGACTCTTGCCGTAGCGCTGCGCACATGTTGAGAGTTTGCACCGTGTGGAGGGGGTGTCGTTTCCAAAAGCAGCCGATCCTTCGGCGTGTGGTCGTCGTCGTCGTCGTCGTCGTCGTCGTCGTCAATCCCAAAGAAGTTGAGGAACAAGGAAACGGAACGTCGTAGTAAAGTCGGAAGGGGGGCCCTTCCCTTTATCCCTCCTGGAGGGTGGGTGGGGGTCAAAACCCAGAGGGAAATCCAGGACAAAAACGGAACGTCGCAGTGCAGTCGAAGGGAAGCCTCTATCCCTTCCCTGCGGGTGGGGTGGGGTGGGGTTACGGCGCGGGGGGGGAAGAGGAGGAGGAGGAGGAGGAGGAGGAGGAGGAGGAGGAGGAGGAGAAGGAGGAGGAGGAGGAGGAGGAGGAGAAGGAGGAGGAGGAGGATGATGATGAGGAGGCCAGAATATGCCGTTCTTCGCGGGGCCCAAGGGGGGCTGCCCGCAGGGGCTCCCGGGGGGAGGCCCCGCCTTCGGGCTCGGCGGCGCCCGTCCGCACAAGGCCCTCGCAGACAGCGGGCCCCTCGCAGCGCCGCGGCCGCTCGTCCGAAACAGCATGCAGCGGCGTCGAGCATGGAGGGCAGTTGTCGGCGGCGAGCCCGGGGGTGAAGCGCAAAGGGGCGGGCCTTCTCAGAAGGCTCCCTGGCCTTCTGGAAGGCTGTCTAGGCCCTAGGCCTTTCCCGGAGACTCCCACCAACTTCCCAGAGGGCGCGAGGGCTTCTGAGAAGTCCCGCCGCCATTTGTTCAACATTGTTTTCGCTTTGAGCTTTCTAGAATGTGGAGACCAGAAGCTTGAACATGTGTACCAGCTGTGCGGATGGAGGGAAGTTCCGTTTCACTATGGGGTTCTCAGTCGAGGCTTTCTCGAAGCTGATAAACTTTTTAAACAATGCATAAAACACCGCACTTCAGCAATACTTGTACAGTGGTGGGGTCATCTTCAAATCAGGGATCTCGCTGCACAAATCGCTGATATGCGTGATCATATCTTTTCGCATTCCGCACTAGACTAACACGAATTCACGGCACCTTCATTTCAAAGCGGGGCTCTTGCCTGAATGGCAGATGGCAGGCCCTCAAGGTGCTGGCCTGTCAACGGGGGAAGTTGGGACGGGATCGTCTATTGCAACATCGTTGGTGCATCTTGGGTTTGCTCCAGTCCACGTCGTCCCTCTCCTCTCCCCCCTTTCCCCCGCGCGCCCTCGCTCTTCTAACAGCGCCCCCTCCGCTCCTGCCTCGCCCCCCCTTCCCCGAGGCCCCCACGGCTGCTTCATGCTCTCGAGCCTTCCAAGCGCGCCGCTGGCCACGTCGCTGGAGGGGGGCGGGCCGGGCGAGCCATGCGAGAAGGGGGGCACACGGGGAGGGGGACGGGGGGGAGGGGGCAGTAGGAACGGGGGAGGGAGGTAACAAGGCATGAAGAGGAGGCGGAGGGCGGAGGGGGGACGGAGGATGAGGTTTAGCGGCCCAAAAAGCTTCCCCTCGGAAGAGGGACGGAGGACGAAGATGATGAGGAGGGACGAAACAGGATAATGAGGGAGGGATTTCTTCGTTTGCAGGGCCGATGCAGCATGAAACCTGTCAACTGCCGATGTGACGAGGCACACAGCTGAGCATACCATTCCGGGACCACGTGAGATAGCCGGCCAGAGGGGCCAAGACCGCCCGGGAGGCGCGACGGGACGCCAACGCCAGCAGCGAGAGCTGGCGAACAAACACCAAGCCCACCACGAATTCGCGGGCGAAGAGCGGTATAACATAAACTGTTCCGTCGCCGGGGGCACTGCCCAGGGGTGGCTGGAAAGTTTATATTCTGACGTGTCACCGCAAGGGTCTAAACTTTCCGGCCGCCCTGGCACACGCGCCCCCGACAGCGAAGCAGTTTGTTTTATACCGTTCTTCGCCCGCTAAACGAAGAACAGCAGTCTGAGTCTCGTCGCTGAAACCGGCGCCAGCAGCCGCCACCGTCGCTGGCGAAGCCGGCGCCGGTGGCAACGCCGGCGTCCGAGCAGCAGGGGCAGCAGCGGCCCCCGCAGGGTCCACACCCTCTGGCCCGAGAGCACGCCGGGCAAGCGGCTGCGCAGATGCCAACCTCTGCAAGCTGGCTCCAACCGTGGAGCCAGGAGGAGGGAGGAGGTGGGGGAGGACGAGGAGGAGGAGGAGGAGGAGGAGGAGGAGGAGGAGGAGGAGGAGCCTTCCCCCCCCGCCTCGAAGGATGACTCCTTGGCCAGGCTCGGCCCACAACCCAGACGTCCGCCGATCCGACTTTTTCAAGCCGCGGCCCCCAGGAGGCCCCGACCCCTTCCCCGAGGGTGGTTCTTCGTCCAGGACCAGGATCCGTTTCTGATGGTGTCCCCGGGTCAGACAACGGGCCCTGGAGGCCGTGGTTCAGGAAAGACCGCCAGGATGAGGAGGAGGAGGAGGAGGAGGAGGAGGAGGAGGAGGAGGAGGAGGAGGAGGGGGAGGAGGGGGGAGGAGTGGGGAGGAGGAGGGGAGGAAGAGGAGGGGGAGGAGGAGGAGGAGGAGGAGGGGGAGGGATTGACAAACCGTACCCTCGGACCCCCGGGGGCTGCACCCCGGCCTCGCAGTGGGTCATATGCGCTCCGGCGGCGGGGCCCAGCGGCCGCTGCGGCTCGCCGGGGCGCCCGCTGCAGACTGCCTCGCATGAAGGGGCCCTGGGACACACAAATAAATACACACAAAAAACAAATCCCCGTATTTTCCTATATTTTCTGGGTTTCTGTCTCCCCCCCCACTTCCCATATTTTCCCATATTTTCTGGGGAATCGACGATTAATTGTGTCTGTGTGTTTTTTCCCTCCTGATCGCAGTGGGTCGTCAAGGGCGCCCGACGTCGCGCGTCGCGCTGCGCGGAGCGCGAAGAACTTTGCGCTCTCGCGCCGCCTCCCAAAGTAGGGGGCCACATGCGAACCCTACCCCTACCCCCCACGATTTCTAAGGGGGAGGGTGGGGTAGGGTTCGCATGTGTCCCCCTACAAAGGAGAAGAATCGAGTCGACGCTGCCTCTTCGAACCGTTAGGACGATGCCCATGCAGAAGCGGGGAAAGCCACGTTGATCATACGAGACAGGGCTGCGAGACAGAGGAGGATGAGGAGGAGTTGGAGTCGAACTGCGAAGGGCGAATGACTTCGCACCCTCGAGGGAGCCCTTGGACCTAGGACAGAAGAACATCCTCCAAGGTGGGCGTCGCCCAATCGGGGGGCGATCGAAGAGGGGGAAGAAAGGTGCACTTTTCGGGCCCTGCAGGCCCCCATTTGGGCCCAAAGGACCCATCGAATGGCCCTACAGGGCCCCTGTTCTACAGCCCGCGCTGCCACCCCCATTAATCGCCCCCCATTGCGCGACGCCCAACCCAGAAAATGAGACCCTCCGCCGGCCAAACAGGAGAACATCCGAGGGCACCCTCCCCCAGGATGCACAAGAGCATCCAATAGACACGAAGAACATGAGGGTACCCTCCCCGAACCGACCTCGATCTCATACCTCGTTCCGGCCGTGCACGATGATCAAGAAGCCGAGGAACGCGAAGGCCGCGACGTCGCCATGCAAGGTGGCCGTCGAATTCGGGCAGCGTGCCATAGACGCGCGAGTACTGCGGATCTGCCATCGGGCGGCCGCGGCAGCGGGCCGATGGCAACGCGGGCCTCGGACGGTTGCGGCGGCGCCATCCGGAAGCACGCGGCCACCAGGTCTTGCTGAGCCACAGCTGGCGGGGGCAGTGCGCATGGGACCGACGCGTGTGGCCGAGACATGCTGACACGGACGATATGGCTGCGGCTACGGCTCGAACCTATCAGGGAGGAAGGAGGCATGGTTGAGAAGGAGCGATTGTGGAGAAGGAGGAGGAAGGAAGAGGGATGAGGGTGGAGTGAGTGTGAAGGAGGAGAAGGATGATGAGGAGGAGAAGGAGGAGGAGGAGGAGGAGGAGGAAGAGGAGGAGGAGTAGGAGGAGGAGGACGAGAAGGAGGAGGAGAAGGAGGAGGAGCAGTAGGAGGAGGAGGAGAGACGGAGGACGAGGAGGACGAGGAGGAGGAGGAGGAGGAGGAGGAGGAGAAGGAGGGAGGCAGGGTTGAGAAAGAAAGATTGTGGAGGAGG